GGGACCACCTGTGATTTAAGAGACCACATTAAGTTATCCCCCTTGTAGTGATTTCATTGTGAACCTGTATGACGGGACCACCTGTGATTTAAGAGACCACATTAAGTTATCCCCCTTGTAGTGATTTCATTGTGAACCTGTATGAAGCTGTGTTGGAGACTTCTTTTTGGACTTTCCCAGGGTTTTCTATTAATACAGATGTATGTTTATCAGTAGATAATTAATGTTTAGTCCCAAGTTCAACTCTGAATTAGTTTAGGCACCTGTCAGAAGTGAGCTCAGTTTCAATGGCATTCATGAAGGGTCTTTCGTATGTGTTAGGTAATTGCTTATACATACCTTGCTCTCACTAGCATGGTGGTAATGCAGAAAACTCCAGGACAAGGACTCTCCATGGCGTAGGTGTAGGTCAAAGTGGTGACAAACCAACAACACAGTTAAATTAACTGTGAAGCCTATAGGCCCAACAACACAGTTAAATCTACTGTGAACACTGTTATGTCCTAAGATAAATCCAAAGTGAAGGATTGTTTTTCAAAAAAGATAAGTTAGCTCCCAATGTCAGAGCTCCTATAGATTTCAACTTTACATGTTATTCAGACTGAAAACATAGACAAAGATTTGAGATCTGAAATTCGAAAGACTCATACCTGCCAACTCTTTGAAATATCCATGGGGGAGATATCGCATATACAAAATTAAATGCAAAATTACAATGTGTGTATGTACACCCTAGGGAAAAAATTACACTTTCTAATGGCATTGTTTGAGCTGTTCTTTCAGGTGAAATCGTAAGACCTTATAGGAATAGTTTAGCAAACTCACCGGTTGAAAATTTAAGGGTCCAAAATCGAGAGTCAATCCCTCCTAAATAGGTAGAGTTTGGCAAGTTCAAGGTCCTAATTCTTGTCAAACAACAATTTAATGTAGATATATTAATATTTTTTAGATACTTTGGATCTACTATGGAGCACCTGATCCACAGATTACTGAACAAAGATCCAGACATCAGGCCATCAGCCAATGAAATTCTGTCTATGCCTCAGCTGCGGTCCTACACGTTACGTTATGAGCAAGGTGAAGGTCACACACGGAGTTCTACTGCAGAGAAACTATTGTCAATTATTTCACCTGAAGATGGAAGCAGCCAATCACTTAACCCTCACAAAGATGCATCAGAGCAGAAACAGGACAGTAAGAAATCAAACGAAGAAATTGATAAAGTTTCATCGTCTAAAGATAGAATTATTCCAGAAGTTTCTGGAGGGAAATCTTCAGAATGTAAACTAGTATATGTAAATGGTTCCGATGTAGCACCAGTAAAGGACAAAAAAGTCTGGTCTAAAGGCGGCAGTGTTAAAGTAGTCCCTCGTCCAGTAAAGAAAATACCCATGGCGAGAAACAACACTCATCTGGCTCTCAGGAAAATGTCGGTCAATAAGATGGAGGAGAAGCAATCCGATAACATAAGTAAGCAGAAATCAAGAGAGAGGGCTCTGCAGACATTAAAGGAGGATAACACTAGGAGAAAAAAAGTGTCTAACGATAAAGAAAATGTAAGGCTACTTTGACAATTGTCATTGTCTTTATAATTAATGCATATGAAACTTTTCTTATAAAATTGTTTTCTGTGGGCTTTTTACTTTTCTCTTTTGTTACATAATTTGTTTTTACCACAAAAACCAGATCCCTCTAAAATTGTAGCTCAAAACTATATTGAAATCACCCAATATTATTTAACATGATAGGTATTAGGTAAGAAATTACCTAATTACCTTCACTTATTCAAGGTCACAGGGGTCACATCCCCTAAAACAATCAAATGTCTTTTGCTAAAGAACAAAAGGGCCTAGAATTGTGATTTATTGCTAGTAGCTTGCTGAAATGTAGTACATGTACTGCAAATTTAGGAATAACCTTGACTGATAAACAAAGTCACAGAGGGTGAAATACGTTAAAACATTGATCCCACCAACTTCTTCAGCACTACCAGTAAACAGCCAAAAATTCTTGTTTATAAAATCATAAAATCAGAGGGTGGAAATGTCATCAACTACGAGGGGAAAAATTATCATGTTTGCCATAACAATATAATTATCTTGTCTGTATGCTATAAATATATTCAATAAAATGTGGTTATTTGATAAACTTGATTGGAGCATTTGTTGTACACTTTCCAAGTTTTTGAGCATCAAATTGTTACCGAAACACACTTATATTGTAAGTAATTGGAGACAATATTTTTTAGATTGATCCCAGCCAACTCTCTGGTAAAACATATGCTGTGAAAAATCCTAAGTTTCGACACCTGTCATATGCTGCCCCCAGAATCTGTAGTATTGTCAGCCGCCAGAGGTCAACACAGTCAGCTGACCTTGAACAAGCAAACAAGAGAGGCTCAAAGGCAGGTTACCATTTGAATTCAATTTTCTTGCATAAATGGTTGAATCCGATTTTAAAGGGGAAAAAATATCTTTATCTGCGGAAATAACCACTTGCAACTACAATTACTGTAGAGAAATGTGCAGGCTGTAACATACCATCTGTTATATAGAGTTAGATACCAGCTCTTAGGTCCAGTAAAACCAGTCAGAATGAGGAGGAAAATCACTCACGCGTGTTCAGCTAGAAATCAGGATGTAATTATAACAAGACCATGCAAAGACGTCACAGCGATGTTATCGTGTAGCTCCACGAGATCTTCTGTTGGTGTGGTCAACAGTCCAGGGGAGATAACTCTACTGATATTCACCACAGTACCATTTACTGATTGAAATGAAACCTTCATAGTATCATATTAACATTCTGTTTGCTTGAATCCATTGATGAAAATAACATTTATTTTTGCATAAAATAGTATTTACATGTATAATATTGGGCCACATTACCAGCACAAGGGGGCCAACACATAATTTCTGACTAAAAGTAGGGGGATGGACTTATTACAGGACAACACATAATCTCTGACTGAAAGTAGGGGAGGGGCTTATTACAGGACAACACATAATCTCTGACTGAAAGTAGGGGATGGGCTTATAAGTACAGGACAAAGAAAAAACTTTATTGGCATTTCTTACTACATGTAACTGTAATATATATATGCGAGCTTATTACCTAGCATGCGCTTATTGCTGGATAAATATGGTATGCTAATTTAGATAACAATAAACATTATTATCCATCATGTTGCACGTGTTTACCACTAACCTGAACTTTTTTTTGCTTACAAGGATTTTTATACACCCGTTGAAAAAACGGGACGTATAACATGTGCGTTATCACGTGAATTGGTGGGTGGGTGGGCATGCAAGGCGTCTGCTCGATATCTTGAGTAATTTTCAACTGATTAACTTCAAACTTCATAGAAAGGTTATTTACCATAGAAGCTTGGATGAGTTAGATAACCACCATTATCTGACTGACTGCCCCTACATCAGTGGAGTGAGTGTAATCACAATTGTCTTACAATTTGTTCCCCTTGGTTTTATAAATGCATTCCATGATGTTTTATTGCACTGATTGATCTACCAGGTATGTTGAATTATTTCTCCTTAAACATCAATTTCTCACAAATATTTTCATTTGTTTGTTATGGTTTTAAATTTTTCAGATTGGAATAAAGTTAGCTGATAAAGCTGATGCTGGGGAGAAATCCAGTGATTCTAAAAGTACAACAGCAGAGGACATGAGGACGATGATAGTGAACGATGTCCCTGAAGACAATGACGATGAGGTGTTTCACAACACGCTTTCCATGTCAGCAGAAATGGTGATTCCCCATGAAGCTGTTGATTCCTGTGATCAACAAGGCAAGAGAAAATCATTAGGAATGCAACCAAACTGTTGGAAGACTTACATCAAAGGGAAGCAACTTCCAAGGAGATCCACTTCCTGTGACAACGTAGTTAAAGCTAAAAGTTCTGGACAGAAAATTGGGCAGCGGGCAATATCAGACGGCAATTTCCAGGGAGTTGGGAGGAATGTGAATGAAAAAACTTACCTTGTGTCAAAACTTGCTTCGAAGGAGGGAGGTACGTTCACCTAAGTTCCATGAACAGAATACATTTAGATTGATATATATAGAAGTCCTTAAATGTTTTATATTAGATGTTAAATAATGTTTTAATATTGAAACAAATGGAACATGTACATAAGCAAATTGTTCAGAGTAAAGTTCTACATTTGGCAGAGAGCATAGTGACATTACAATTAAAATAACATCATGAAGTGATATATTAACCTGCTGTTCTCAAAACAAATAACACTCCAGGGCTCCCCAACCCTGGCATCCCCTATCAAAATATTTATATATGTATATATATATCTGCTTCGAAGCAGTATATGTATATACATATTTATGAAAAAAAATGGCTGGGGGAATATCCCAAATCACCGATCTTCTTGTGACTGTGGTTCAACCAATGAGGATATATATTGGTATGAGTTTTATCCTTTTTTTTGGCATCACCAAATCATTTAGAATGCAATAAGTTGATGGCTAGAACAACAAATCTCAAGGATTCCATACCATGATCATTTTTTGTTTTAGATTCCAGGGTGGACAAGCTACCTCCATCAGGGAAAAGGACTGTGGCTGTGTTTATTGCTAAGACATTATTCTCTGCCATCCTGGACACTCAGTTAACACCTTCAGCAGCAGGAGGTGCCCTCTACTGCCACCTGGTGGGGGTATTTGGTCAACAGAGGGCGAAACAGTTGGTAGAATGTACGTCACGGTGTCTTACACAACAAAAGGACTTCAGTGTGATACAACAGGAATACAGTGATAATGAACTTGTCTACTTCCCCCTGGTGGTCCAGTACTTCACACTTCAGAACGTCATGGACTAGAGCTGTCCTTGCACTACAGAACATCACGGACGAGGGTTGTCCTTGCACTTCAGAATGTCACGGACGAGGGATGTCCTCGCACTACAGAACGTCACGGACGAGGGTTTTCCTCGCACTACAGAATGACATGGACAAGTGTTATCCTCGCACTACAGAACGAGGGGTAACCACGCACTACAGAATGTCATGGACAAGGGTTATCCTTGTACTACAGAACGTCACGGACGAGGGTTGTCCTCGCACTACAGATTGTCATGGACAAGGGTTATCCTCGCACTACAGAACGTAACGGACGAGGGTTGTCCTCGCACTACAGAATGTCATGGAGAAGGGTTATCCTCGCACTACAGAACGTCACGGACGAGGGTTGTCCTCGCACTACAGAATGACATGGACAAGTGTTATCCTCGCACTACAGAACGAGGGTTAACCATGCACTACAGAATGTCATGGACAAGGGTTATCCTCTCACTACAGAACGTCACGGACGAGGGTTGTCCTCGCACTACAGAACGTCCCGGACGAGGGTTGTCCTTGCACTTCAGAATGTCACGGCCGAGGGTTGTCCTCGCACTACAGAACGTCACGGACGAGGGTTGGCCTCGCACTACAGATTGTCATGGACAAGGGTTATCCTCGCACTACAGAACGTCACGGACGAGGGTTGGCCTCGCACTACAGATTGTCATGGACAAGGGTTATCCTCGCACTACAGAACGTCATGGACGAGGGTTGTCCTCGCACTACAGAACGTCACGGACGAGGGTTGTCCTTGCGCTACAGAATGTCGCGGACGAGGGTTGTCCTCGCACTACAGAATGTCATGGACAAGTGTTATCATCGCACTACAGAATGAGGGTTAACCACGCACTACAGAATGTCATGGACAAGGGTTATCCTTGTACTACAGAACGTCACGGACGAGGGTTGTCCTCGCACTACAGATTGTCATGGACAAGGGTTATCCTCGCACTACAGAACGTCATGGACGAGGGTTGTCCTCGCACTACAGAATGTCATGGACAAGTGTTATCATCGCACTACAGAATGAGGGTTAACCACGCACTACAGAATGTCATGGACAAGGGTTATCCTCGCACTACAGAACGTCACGGACGAGGGTTGTCCTCGTACTACAGGACTTCATGGACAAGCCTTGCACTGCGGAATATTATGGACTAAGGGTGCATTTTCGTGAACTTCACAATGTCATGGACTGGAGCTGCTTGCACTACAGAACGTCGTGGACTACAGTTGTCCACGCACTACAAAACGTCATGGACTACAGTTGTCCTCACACTACAGAACGTCATGGACTACAGTTGTCCTCGCACTACAGAACGTCATGGACTACAGTTGTCCTCGCACTACAGAACGTCATGGACTACAGTTGTCCTATACTACAGAATTTTATGGACTAAAGGTGCATTTTCGTTAACTACACAATGTCATAGACTGGAGCTGCTTGCACTATAGAACATCATGGACAAGGGTTGTCTTTGCTCTACAGAATTTTATGTACAAGGGTTGTCCTCGCACTACAGAATGTCATGGACTACAGTTGTCCTCGCACTAGAATGTCATGGACTGCAGTTGTCCTCGCACTACAGAACGTCATGGACTACAGTTGTTCTCGCACTACAGAACGTCATGGACTACAGTTGTCCTCACACAAAAGAACGTCATGGACTACAGTTGTCCTCGCACTACGGAACGTCATGGACTACAGTTGTCCTCACACTACAGAACGTCATGGACTGCAGTTGTCCTCGCACTACAGAACGTCATGGACTACAGTTGTCCTCGCACTACAGAACGTCATGGAATACAGTTGTCCTTCACTACGGAACGTCATGGACTACAGTTGTCCTCGCACTACAGAACGTCATGGACTACAGTTGTTCTCGCACTACAGAACGTTATGGACTACAGTTGTCCTCACACTACAGAACGTCATGGACTGCAGTTGTCCACGCACTACAGAACATCATGGACTACAGTTGTCCTCTCACTACAGAACGTCATGGACTACAGTTGTCCTCGCACTACAGAACGTCATGGAATACAGTTGTCCTTCACTACGGAACGTCATGGACTACAGTTGTCCTGACACTACACAACGTCATGGACTACAGTTGTCCTCACACTACAGAACGTCATGGACTACAGTTGTCCGCGCACTACAGAACGTCATGGACTACAGTTGTCCTCGCACTACAGAACGTCATGGACTACAGTTGTCCTCGCACTACGGAACGTCATGGACTACAGTTGTCCTCACACTACACAACGTCATGGACTACAGTTGTCCTCACACTACACAACGTCATGGACTACAGTTGTCCTCGCACTACAGAACGTCATGGACTGCAGTTGTCCACGCACTACAGAACGTCATGGATTACAGTTGTCCTCGCACTACAGAACGTCATGGACTACAGTTGTCCTTGCACTACAGAACGTCAATGGACAAGGGAATGTACTAGCAAATACATAAGAATGGCATAATTGGATTTATTGTCAGAAAGTTATACTTTACTTTATTTAACAAGTAACATAAATTTCACAACTGGTTTCAGTTGATTTCTGAGACTGAGCAACATTCTAGATAAATAAAATATATGCCTAAGGAAGCGAGATATTCCTTATGAAAGAACTTAATAAAATCAATGAATTTGATAATAATATTTTTTTTATTCCTCCGTAAATTCTGAATTTGAATAAATTTGAATTAGAAGATTTAAAACCATATGCTTCTATCCAATTTATATTTACCTTGAACTCTTGGCTTCAACAAAACCTCACAACTCATTGCTGTACAGCAATCATGTTGATCCTTTTATTACAAGAGTTACTTCCCTTCCATTACATTTTAACTAACAGTCCAACTGTTTGGCTTTTAGCTGGCTGGAGTGAAGGACTATCAATTTTTATACGCCCGTCAAATTTGACGGGAGTATTATGGTATGGCGTCATCTGTCCGTTCGGCGTAAACTTTTGTTTGTCCGGCAATCTCTTCCTACATTATTCGACCGATCTCTTTGAAACTTGGTATACATTATAATCATGATATGAAGTTGTGCCTCCCTTAAAAGAATTTTGATTCAACGATTTTTGCAAAACTTATTGCCCTTTGTTGATTTCAGTATTTGATTTTTTTTCCAGAGATTTTCTCCTACATTTTTTTTAGCATGTTAGCTAACCACTCTTGGAATGAAGCAGATCTTATTTCAATGTAACAAAGTATATAACACTATATATATGGCATTCGACGGGCGTATATTGTTCTGCCCTGGGGTACTCTTGTTATTTTGTTTGGCCTGTAGCGTGCTGGAGTGAAGGGCTTTCAGTTTCTATTTTGAAGAAAAAAAGTAACTGAATCTCATTCATGGAGTATTCTTGGTAAACTAATGTATACTAGGAAACTTTCGCCCAGTCAAATATTCGCCCTTTGCCAATAAAATCCATGTTCGCCTAGTGTTAATTTTGCTGTTCACATGTAATTAGTATATATTGTATGTTTTATACTAATATTCACTGTCACAACGAATTCGCCCTCAATAGGAAGGGCGAAAAGGCAAAAGTTTACATGCAGCAAAATTTTCCCAGTATGCAGTAAATGTTTTGGGATTATGGATGACATGTTGGAGGATTGTGGGTAATATTTGATGGTACTGTATGTGGATTGGTGGTGATCATGTTTGAGGATTATGGGTAAACTACTAGTATCATGTTTTAATGCAGCGGGTAATCTGTTTTAGGGTTGTTGGAAAAATGACTTGTTCAAAGAATGAGGGTAAGGTGCCATTTTTGGGGATTGTGGGTAAGAATACGTGTTTGAGGATTGTGAGTAATATGTTTGAAACATACTGGGGTGTTACCCACAATCCTCGAACAAATTTTTCATCCATAATCCTGAAACCTTCAGTAAAATGGGTGAAACGTGCGGAAGATAACATGCTAGAGGATTGTATGTAAGCTTTCATGGATGAGGATTATAGGCAGTGTAACTTGTTTTTAGCTCAACAGGCCCAAAGGGCCAAGTTAGCTATTGCACCTGTCTGTAAACTTTAATTAAACCTCTTCTCAAGAACCACAAGGCCAATAACAACCAAATTTGGTAGGAAGTATCTGTAAGTGATAATGTTTCAGATTTGCGAAGGAGAAAGGACGGCCCACTTCTGGAGACCAATAAGGGGGGAAAGGAGGAATCTAATAAAATCTTCTTGTAACAAACCAACTACTGAAGAACTAAAAAGATCGGAGCTGTATCATTTAGTCAATAGCTTGCTGCAACATAGTGCTAGGAAGTTCATGAAAAGAAGGGCCAGTTAAAACATGTGAGAGTCTTCAGGCCTCTTGGACCTTTTTGTTTTGACAAGATCTTTATTGGGAACAATGACACTTAAAACTCTGGGATGGTGTTTATTTCAATGTAATAATGGTAACAAATTAATTGATCAAATCAAGACAATTGAAAAAGGAAAACATAAAAAAAAAATGTATATCTCATTCATTTGATGATTATTAAATATCATCAAAAGACAAAAAATCATATGCATAAACCTAGCCAATACTCTACATATCACCTTTACATTATCACAAAAAACAGCAAACAATAGGTGATTTAAAATGATAGTAAGTTAATATTGTTAAATTCCTGTATTTGACTTTATATACATCAAACAGATACAGGTTTTTATTACTCAGGATCCGGAGTGATTAGGTCATAGTGATAACATTTTACACTTTTGAATGACGCTTTACACACATATATGCTAATATTTACTTTCACTTACAGCTAAAACGTTCACAAAGGATAAGAGTTCAAATCTCAGATTCCAAGAGACTTTCAAATAAATGAACATATTGGTTATTATGTTATTTTCTCTATTCCAAAAGGTCGTTTTTTTATTCCATCAAAGAAAAACATGAAAAAGGTTAGTATTGAAAAGACTCCTTTTCGTAGAGTAAATCAAAGTCATGACCTTGAACAAAACAAAAAAATTCATAAAAGTTCCCATACACCATCGAGAGATGAAACATACTCTACTTTATATCTAAATGTCTAAATTATACAAATATCACGGCAAATACAAATTGTTGAAATTGATGTCAATAAGGATTTAAGTTGCTGCTTCCATGATCGTCTGTATCACTATAAACATCACATTAAGGGAACATGCTACTTTACTGTGACATATCGCATGATTCCCTGGTCGTCTGTATCACTATAAACATTACATTAAGGGAACATGCTACTTTACTGTGACATATCGCATGATTCCCTGGTCGTCTGTATCACTATAAACATTACATTAAGGGAACATGCTACACTTTACTGTGACGTATCACGCGATTCCCTGGTCGTCTGTATCACTAAAAATTACATCAAGGGAACATGCTACACTTTACTGTGACATATCCCGCGATTCCCTGGTCGTCTGTATCACTAAACATTACATCAAGGGAACATGCTACACTTTACTGTGACATATCACGTGATTCCCTGGTCGTCTGTATCACTATAAACATCACATTAAGGGAACATGCTACACTTTACTGTGACATATCACGCGATTCCCTGGTCGTCTGTATCACTAAACATTACATCAAGGGAACATGCTACACTTTACTGTGACATATCACGTGATTCCCTGTTCGTCTGTATCACTATAAACATCACATTAGGGGAAAATGCTACTTTACTGTGAGATATCACGTGATTCCCCGGTCGTCTGTATCACTATAAACATCACATTAGGGGAAAATGCTACTTTACTGTGAGATATCACGTGATTCCCCGGTCGTCTGTATCACTATAAACATCACATTAAGGGAACATGCTACTTTACTGTGACATATCACGTGATTCCCTGGTTGTCTGTATCACTGTAAACTTAACGCAAAAAAAATAACAAGAGGTTGTAATGTTTGATATTCTTAATTTCATAATAAAGAAATATATTTCCCTGTCTGTCCACACATTGAGAAACTTTGGGTATATAGATGGCACTTCTTTAGACCGTCAAATGTTCATCAAATGTTCATCAAATGTTCATCATCAAATGTTCATCATCAAATGTTCATAATCAAATGTTCATCAAATGTTCATCATCGAATGTTCATCAAATGTTCATCAAATGGTCATCATCAAATGTTCATCAAATGTTCATCAAATGTTTATCAAATGTTTATCAAATGTTCGTCAAATGTTCATCAAATGTTCATCATCAAATGTTCATCAAATGTTCATCAAATGTTCATCATCGAATGTTCATCGAATACTTGGAGAATTTATTGGAGTTCTTTGAGGATTTGCTCTGTTACATTTTGCACAATCGAAATTGACAGAAAATAACCGGATGTCCTTGTAGAAGGCTCGCATTATCATGACGACACGGTGTGTGCACTCCTTTTTCTGGCACAGTTCCGGGCTGAGCCCTTCCTTCATGCACTTCCGCTTCTTTCCTCCACAATCCATCGTTTTCAATAATTTGTTTTTGAAGTTGTCCACTTGATCTGAAAAGGAGACATTACTCATTACGATTTATAAAGAATTATACTCTAACGGAATCCACGTCAACCATTTTGTACTGATATACGCAATGACATATAGCTATAGGGATATTTTAACCAACAGAGAGCAATTCAATGTTTAGATTTTACATTACCTTTTTCATTTACCTAACTTTATGCAAGTGGATGTTTTTTTTCCTGATGAAATACATCTTTAATGCAGATTAGTGTATGGCCTTGCGTTATACCAGCAATCGTGAAACGTCGACATTTTCCGTAAATGACAATGCCCCTTTGAAGAAGTTGCCGACGGTTCCCGATTGGTTATACAATTGACGGTGAAACACAAACGTACTTTTAGAGGCTGCCCCAAGTACCATGCTCTTTGTCATTTGCTTCCGGAACACCTTGGTGTCTTTGTAGATTAAGATGCGGAATGTGGACATGTTTAGATGGATGTCCTGGGATCCATCTCGACAGCGATCATGGGTCTCCGGATTGCTCAGACTTTCACATGCTGTTTGAAATAAGCAGAAATGCGGCTTGAGAATACACACAAATATGACTGTGTAAAATACTGTGTGCTGGTGTAGTGTAGGCAATGGGAAGCCCTGGCCGTGTTATACACAAAAAACCGGAACCTGAACGGCAAATATCCTTTTTTTTTTTTAATTCGCCCCCAAAATGATTCGATTCATTACCTATACATTTTACATAAACAAAGTTTTGGAATTTTAACATCAAATTGTCTGATAATTTACTGTGAGACGTCCAGTGGGGGGAAATCTAGTTTTAATTAATATTTCGGAGAACGTTTCTTTTGAATGATTAAAGTATTACTTTTAAATATATACTGTAAAATTATCGCATCATCAAATTTTCACATATTAGTTCATTGATGAATTTGCGCACTCAAAATATATGCCATAGAAACAGTGAAAAAAATAAGGTTACCGCTAAAATATGAGCATTTTAAAGTATACATTTCCCTTCAATTTGTTGCTACGACTTGAAAAGAACATGAGTATACCAGTCTTTCCAATCTGCCATTTCCATAACTCCACTTCGTCTTTCTTTGCGTTGTCGAAGGCCACAAATAGCTCCTTGCCCTCTATGTGCCTATAAACCAGGTGATCTGCCCTTTTAGGGACACACATGTGACGTAAAAACCGGGGAATCCGGGTCCTATTGTACACAGGGCGGTTTCTCAATACAGCAGGCATGGCGGCGACATCCGAATCACTATGGTGATGGCGATGTTTATGAGCAATTGCATCTGTAAACAAGAAATATCCAATGAAAATAACGTTTCTGATTTTTTTTATGAATGAGTTCCTTTGTAAATTGTTAAAGCAATAGATATACAGTACAGATGTGGCAGACCAACCGGTATAACTGCCACATAGAAATAGCGCGTCTGGTAATCTTGCGCATCGATATCTGAACGTTTTTCAAGTACTAAACTTACTCAAGTCATTTATTAATTATAAAATTGATAAGAAGAAATAGCCAATTGATTAAATCATCTATACTTTGGCCAAATGTTCTACAGGCTAGACTTATATAAACTAAAATGTAGGAAGCTTAAAACAATTGTTTGAACTTTCGGAGCCCGTATTCAAAAAACACATCTAGCGCATGTTATCACTGGTAGGTCCATTCTTCTGTATTTTTCTAGGACATTAATCTTATCGTAATCATATATTAAAATGATATTTTAACAGAGTATACATTTCTCTTCAACTTCATATAGGTTTTAAAAATATTCGTCCCTTTTTCACCCCTTGAATACGTTAATTCCTCAGGTTCGCCACAATACCGGCCAACCGTATATACTTTACATACCTTGATACAAGTCTCGTTTGGACCGACCACGTCGTCGGCCTCTCATCTTCTTGTGTTTCCTCCTATGGTCCTTTCGTATGTCTTTGAAACAGACCTTTTTTAGGTTCTTTTCTTTGTCCCTGGTACCGTGGTCATCGCATGTTTTGCAACAGGCCAGGGCATTCTTTAACTTCGGTTCAGCACACGTCAGTTCTCTGGCCGAGGGGCAGCGCAGCCTGCTACACGTGATGGTGCCGTCCTGTGTAAACGAAACCGCCTACTTATTTTAATTTTGAACAATTGATAATTATACAACTATGCTAATTGGCATGAGTGAGAATGTCACATTTGTAGCTGTATTGTTTAACAAACATGTTCAAAATGTAAGTTTATTTTGAACCGATGAGCCGGAAGGCTCTAGGTAAATAAAGAATTGTACTGGGCTTGAATTTTAATTATAAAATCTTGTGGAAATTCTGTTTAGGTTAGGGGGGGGGGGGTCGCCTCGCTACGTGTCGTCAATGCTTCCTGAATCATACTGGAATTTTATTTGTTTCAAGGAAAATCACACATTACATATGCATGAACAAGAAAAGTAATATGTGAATAGTTATAAACGTATAAAATTTGTACAATTCCCACACCTGGGAGACTAATATTACATACAAGCCTGATCCCCGGGATACTAATATTACATACAAGCCTGATCCCTGGGATACTAATATTACATACAAGCCTGATCCCCGGGATACTAATATTACACACAAGCCTGATCCCCGGGATACTAACATACAAGCCTGATCCCCGGGATACTTATATTACATACAAGCCTGATCCCCGGGATACTAATATAACATACAAGCCTGATCCCCGGGATACTAATATTATATACAAGCCTGATCCCCGGGATACTAATATTACACACAAGCCTGATCCCCGGGATACTATTATTACATATAAGCCTGATCCCCGGGATACTAATATTACATACAACCCTGATCCCCGGGATACTAATATTACATCCAAGCCTGATCCCCGGGATACTAATATCATATACAAGCCTGATCCCCGGGATACTAATATAACATACCAGCCTGATCACCAGGATACTTATATTACATACAAGCCTGATCCCCGGGATACTTATATTACATACAAGCCTGATCCCCGGGATACTAATATTATATACAAGCCTGATCCCCGGGATACTAATATTACACACAAGCCTGATCCCCGGGATACTAACATACAAGCCTGATCCCCGGGATACTTATATTACATACAAGCCTGATCCCCGGGATACTTATATTACATACAAGCCTGATCCCCGGGATACTTATATTACATACAAGCCTGATCCCCGGGATACTAATATTACATATAAGCCTGATCCCCGGGATACTTGCATATAAACCCCCCAACCCCGGAAGACTTGCATTACACATAACCCCTACCTATGGATTAATTACATTACATACTACCCCACTCCCTGGATATTTACATTTCATATAACCAGGTTCCTAAAATTACATATTACCCCTGCCCCTGGAATAATTATATTCATATAACCCCCGACCCCGGGATACTTATGTTATATATAATACCACCCCAGTGTACTAAAATGACTTAAAATCCCCACCCAGGATACTCACATTACATATTAGCCCCATCCCGGGATACTCACGTTACATATTAGCCCCACCCCGGGATACTCACGTTACATGTTAGCCCCACCCCGGGATACTCACGTTACAGATACACGTCTGACAGTTGTCCGTGCTTTTATTCCACGTCTCGTTATGTTTAAAGGCCACAGCCGGGCCGTCCGTGTCAGTACAACCTATATACAATAAGCATGAGTTATTTTCTTTGTAGTAAACATCACTGAATACAGAAAAGATAAATATGGGTGTCCGCATCAATGTTATCAATAGATGTTTGTTAATTGATTAAAACTGTTATTTAACAGGAAGTCCATTGGGCTTGTATCGCTCACATATTGAGGGGAGGGGATGTTGGGGGAGGAGTGTTGTTGTGGGGAGGGGGATTGCGTTGTTGGGGGGAGAGGGGATTGTTGTTGGGGGGAGGGGGAATGTGTTGTTGGTGGGAGGGGTGTTGTTGGGGGGAGAGAGGATTGTTGTTGGTGTGAGTGGGTGCTGTTGGTGTGAGGGGGAATGTGTTGTTGGGGGAGAGGTGATTGTTGTTGGTGTGAGGGGGTGTTGTTGGTGTGAGGGAGATTGTGTTGTTGGTGGGAGGGGTGTTGTTGGTGAGTCTAGGTATTCCACCATCTATTAGTCCAGAGCTGTTGGTGGTGGGAGGGGTGTTGCTGGTGAGTCTAGGTATTCCACCATCTATTAGTCCAGAGCTGTTGTTGGTGGGAGGGGTTGTTGTTTGTGAGTCTAGGTATTCCACCATCTATTAGTCCTGAGCGGTTGCACTTCATGTCCCCTTTATCATATATATACTAATATCACGTAATTATATTAGAGTGCCTGCTATCTAAGTCCGTGCTAAAATGTACTATGTGATCATTGTCCGGTAGATATATGGAATGTTTTTTTAATGGGAAACGCGTATATGCTTTACACAAATATACATACTATTTATTGATTACATATAAATCATATACACAGTATTTATATACATATACTTCAGTACTGATAGGTTGGCATTATCATACACTGTACATGTACTATAAACCAACTAGCAATATATAACGAAACATTAAACAGATATAAATACCTACGTAAAGATATTGTGTGTATGTTTGTACCAGTACTTTGTATACTTGTAGCAGACCAAATTATCCCCAGCACATCCCCCTTCCTCTAGTTCACCCCGATAATCTCGACTTCCCAGATTATGTTGGGATTGTATTAAAGTGCATTTTCCCCAATCCTACCTCTAGGAAATAGTGTAACCCATCAGATGGGTGTCTGATCCGGTAATGTGTACTCACGTACATCTACATACATGTATATGTACAATACAATACATCTACATACATTTTTATGAACAATAAAACTATCTTATGATATATCACCTGTGTATTTCTTACCTGAGAACCCGGTAACTGTGTGTCCACCACTAAAAACCAGAAGTACGGTACACAGCACGTACAGCGGATACATATTGCCTACATGAGTGTCAATATTACACTGACCATCACCCTGTCATTCTGGTCACTATATATGTGTGAAAACTCCTTTGTGTATACGTATTATATTACCTATATGTCGGTATATACACCGTATAACAGCCCCGTTCTTTGGTGATTAAATACCGTTGATCACATGACCAGCTGAACCTGTATGTACCTGTCGGTTACACAAAGATATACCTGAGTGATTAGCTGAGTAAAAACACGGATGAATATGGCCTCTTTTACCTGTCTGACGTACACAAATATAAGTTGACATATGTTTATTTAGAGTATTGAACATTGTGAAAAGGCAATTACACAGTAGACATAATTATAGCAGATAATTCTGTTAATTGACGGAGTTACATGTAGTTATTAATTTCAACAAAATATGTACTCTAGAAGCACTAGGAAATTATTTGCTGCGATTCAGTGCGTTATCAATGAATTATATATATATATAAAACAAAACACGAAGACTAGTATAATCGGCTAGCGCTTTCGCCCATATTGGGGCTCTTCAGGTGATTATTTGTGACGTCATAAATGGAGTACGAAAGTACGGCTTGGTTTGATACAACGGCAAGCAAAATACAAAGTCAAGGTTTCGTTAAACATAATACAACAACAACAGATGATAAGTCAACATAAAAGGGTCCCCCGGAGTTCTTGTTTCACGTTGATCTGTTCACGTTGTTGTTGTTGTTGTTGTTGAAATTGTTGAGAAGGCAATGTAACCACAATTACAGAGGAGAGATCAACGTAAAACAAAATTTCCTTTGTTGTTATTGTTTTACGTTACATCTCCTGTGGTGTTGTTATTGTTTTACGTTACATCTCCTGTGGTGTTGTTGTTGTTTTACGTTACATTTCCTGTGGTGTTGTTGTTGTTTTACGTTACATCTCCTGTGTCGTTGTTATTGTTTTACGTTACATCTCCTGTGGTGTTGTTGTTGTTTTACGTTACATCTCCTGTGGTGTTAATGTTGTTTTACTTTGATATCTCCTGTGGTGTTAATGTTGTTTTACGTTACATCTCCTGTGGTGTTGTTGTTGTTTAACGTTACATCTCCTGTGGTGTTAATGTTGTTTTACGTTGATATCTCCTCTGTAATTGTGGTTACCTTGACTTCTCATCTGTTATTGTTGTTTTACATTGACATCTTCTCTGTTGTTGTTTTACGTTCTATTGGTGTTATTTAACGTTGACCTCTCCCCAAGTATTGTATAACGTTGACCTCTCCCCAAGTATTGTATAACGTTGACCTCTCCTCTGTGTTGTATAACGTTGACCTCTCCTCTGTGTTGTATTACGTTGACCTTTCATTTGTTGTTGTTGTTGTATGTTGACCCCTTCTCTGTTGTTATTTTACGTTGACATTTCCTCTGTTGTTGTTGTTGTTGTTATTTTGCGTTGACATCCCTTGTGGTGTTAAAATTGTATAACGTTGACCTCTCCTCTGTTGTTGTTTTATGTTGACATCTTCTCTAGATCTGTTGTTGTTGTTTTACGTTGAACTATCCTCTGTTGTTGCATTACATTGATTTCCTCTGATTTTGTATTAAGTTGACCTCTCCCCTTTTGTTTTACGTTGATCTCTCATCTGTTGCAATTGTTTCACGTTGACCTTCCTCTTTTGTTGTTTTACGTTTACCTCTCGTCTGTTGTTGGTGTTGTTTTACGGTGACATTTCCTCCTCTGTTGTTTAATATTGACGTTTCCTCTCTTGTTTAACGCTGAACTCTCCTTTGTTGTTCTACGTTGACCTCTCCTCTGTTGTTATTTTATTAAATTGACGTCTTCTCTGTTATTTTTAACGCGTATATCTCATTTGTTGTTGTTTGACATTTACCTCTCCTCTGTTGTTGTTGTATTACGTTGACGTTTCCTCTACTGTTGTATTATGCTGACCTTCCCTTTGTTTTTGTATCATGTTGACTTCTTCTCTGTTGTTGTATTACGTTGACCTCTCCTTTTTTTTGTTTTCCGTTGACCTCTCCTTTGTTGTTGTTTTTACGTTGACCTTTCCTCTGTCGTTTTTATTGTTGTTTAACGTTGACCTCTCCGCTATTGTTCTTGCTTAACGTTGATTTTCCCACTGTTGTTATTTTACGTTGACCTCTCCTCTGTGATGTTGTTGTTTTACGTTGATCTCCCCTATAGTTGTTTTATCGTTGACCTTTCATGTTGTTTTTGTTGTTGTTGTTCTTGTTTTTGTTGTTGTTTTACGTTGATCTCTCCTCTGTTATTGTTCTAGTGTTGTTTTACATTGACATCCCCTGTGGTGTTAATGTTGTTTATCGTTGACTTCCCCTCTGTGTTTTTAACGCTGATTTCTCCTCTGCTGTTGTTGCTTAACGTTGAACTTTCCTCTGTCGTTGTTCAACGTTGATCTCTCATCTGTTGTTGTTGTTTGACGGTGATATCTCCACTGTTGTTGTATAACGTTGACCGCTTCTCTGTTGTTGAATTATGTTTTTAGATGATGGTGGGCTATTCAAATCACCCTGTGTCCGTGGTCCGTCGTCCGTCCGTTGTCCGTCGTCCGTTGTCCGTCGTCCGTCGTTCGTCGTCCGTCGTCCGTCCGTAAACAATTCTTGTTATCGGCATTTCTCAAGAAGTATTAGAGGGATCTTTCTCAAATTTAAAATGCAGGTTCCCCTTGGTCCTAAGCTGTGCAGGGCAACTTTTGAGACTGATCGGATAAACAACATGGCCGATAGGCAGCCATCTTGGATTTTGATAGTGAAAGTTTGTTATCGCTATTTCTCAAGAAGTACTAAAGGGATCTTTTTTTAAATTTTATATGTAGGTTCCCCTTGGTCCTTAGCTGTGCCGGGCAACTTTTGAGACTGATCGGATAAACAACATGGCCGACAGGCAGCCATCTTAGATTTTGATATTGAAAGTTTGTTATCGCTATTTCTCAATAAGTACAAGAGGGATCTTTCCCAAATTTTATAAGTAAGTTCCCCCTGGTCCTTAGCTGTGCAGGGCATTTTTTGAGACTGATCGGATAAACAACATGGCCGACAGGCAGCCATCTT